ATGGGGTCTAGGTCTGTTACCCAGGCTGATCTGGAACTCCTGGGCTGAAATGATCCTACCATCTCAGCCTCCTGAGTAGATGGGACTACGGACACTGACACTCTACATTTCTCAAAGATAACAGTGTTCTTAGATTGGGCATCCTTCTGTGTTGTAGGTATCTAAATCAGACCCTATCTCCACCATTTCCAAAAAAGCCACCTAAAAATCATGCCTATTCTCTCTCCTGTATTTTTAACCTCTCTCATTCAACTGGCTCTTTCCTCTCAGCATATAAATAATGCTGTAGCAATGCACATCTTTGAATCACTAAATTATTCAGTAAAAATTTCTTGAGTGTTTATTCTATGCCAAGCATAGATATCCATATGTATATAGGTATGGTCTCTGACCTTAAGGAATTTATAGTCTACCTATGGGAAAAGTCAGAAGACAAATAATCATACTAATATGACAAGCAGTAATGTGTGTATTAATTTTATGATGGCATTTAATAGGAAGACCTGACCTATTCTGGTTGTTTAAACTGAGGGTTGAAACATAAGGTGGAATCTGCTGGGAATGGAGTTTCAGACAGAGAACTGCACAAGCACAGGCCTTGAGCAGGAGGCAAGAATGCTCCTTCCAGAAAACACATGAACCAGTACTCGAGTGTAGAGAAGGAGGGGGACATATGTAGGGGTCAGATCATACAGGGTCTTCTGGGACATTTTAAATATTAGGGTCTGGATTTATTTTCTGTAGTAATGGGAATGTAGTGAAAGATTTTAATGAGAGGGCTACATGACGTGATTTGGATTTTCAAAAAAAAGAAAAATAGCATGGATAAGTAGAGAGACAAAGTGGGTGGAAGTATAAATCAATTAGCAGGTCTTTGCTGTGGTCCAGGTAAGAGATTATGCTCCTTCTTGGACTAGGGATTAGTAGCAATGGATATTGGTAGAAGTAAGCGTATTCAAGAGATTTAGGAGGTAAAATTGATAAACTGGATATGGGAATTGGGGAGAGGGAAATAAAAATATGACTTCCACATTTCCGCCCCATGCAACCAAATAATGATCACACGTTTACTAATTTGGGAAATACAAGAAGACCAGAACTGAGGAAGACAATTAAGGTAGGTTGTGGATATCTCAAATTTGGAAACCTCTGAAGAAATCAGAGCGTGATATTAAGCAGCTATTTGGATATATAGGTTTGAAACTCAGTGATGAGTCTGGGCTTGACCTGAAAAATTAGGGATCATTGACCATATACGTGATAATTAGAGCCAGGTACTTAGAAAAGATCACCTAATGGGATACTTCCTCCCTTCCCAGCCAAGCTTTTGTATCAGGTAATATACACTCTGTGTCTCTACTTCTTTTTAACTCCTCAGGTTAGTCTTCAACCCATTGTAATTAGACTGTCACCTCCTACGCTCCAATGAAGGTTACCTTGCCAGGTGACTCCCTCGATGCTGGACGGAAAGAACAGTTGTCTGTCCTTCCCTTATTTGACCTCCTTGTAACAATCCCTTTCTCTTGTTTTGGATTCTGCTGGGTCACATGCTTTTGTTTTTTCTCTTATTCTTTGGTCATTTTTGGCAGTCTCCTTTATGGTCTCTCTACTTGCTATTTCCCAGGGCTCTCTTTTTTATTACACTAGAGTGATGAAAAACTCAAATATCTGCAGTGGCCAGGAATTAAAATGAGTGCAATAGAGTATTTTCATATTAAACACTTTGCACAGTGAACCCGTTTACACATGTAAATCCGTGTGTTTATATACAAACTGCAGTATTAAATACTTCTACAAATAACTATGTGGACCCAGTGGACCCAGATCTTTCAACATTTCAAAAGAGGTAGGCAATATGGATTTTTATATGAGAGAACATAATTTTTTATATTTTCATCATCGATTCAATTTCATTTCTTTTTTATATACTGTGTTAGACAAATAAGAAATGTGAGAAGTCCCCATATAGTGGTTTGGCTGCTAATTTGCCATCTCTCCTGGTGTAGTGGCAACTATTCTGTTTTTAACCATGTTTCTAGGTTCATCTTTTTCCCATCTGCTGCTCAGACCTAGAAGGCCTCGCATCCAGCTTCTTGATAGACATCTCCCCCTTGCTAACCCAGAGGCGCCTCTAACTTAACATCTCTACTTTGCTGTTAATCAATTCCTATCCTATCCAGTCACCCACACCAGATTACCCTTTCCCTCACCATCATACCCAATCAAATGAAGGAATTGAATTCTTACTTTAACATCTTTCAAAACACTCTCTTCACCGTTTCTATCTCTGTTGCCACTATTTCTATTTAAGTCTTTATTGTCTTTCACCTGGATCACTACAGCAACAGTTGCAGGCAGTATAGTGTAGTAATTGAGAGCATGGGCACAGGAGACAAACTTCCTGGTTTTGCTACTTATTAGCTATGTAATCTTGGATGAGTTCTTTAACTTTTCTGGGCCTCAGTTTCCTCACCTGTAAAATGGAGATAATTTCAGTGCCTACCTCACAGGGTTGTCATGCAGTTTAAATGAGTTAATACATGTAAATCACTTAGTACAGTGCAGAGCTTGCTATCATCATCCTCATTATTATTATTAGTTGGTTACTTCTTTCCTCCGACTCACCTACCAGGTACCTTTATTTTATCATCACACTTGTCCCACTGTATTGCAAATTTTGTATGTGGCACTCTGAAGTACTAGACAATCAGCTCCTTGGAGGTTTAGAGTATGTGTTACTCATCCCTTGATCCCCAATACCCGGCACAATGCCAGGCACATGTAGGTGCTCAGACAACATTTTTTTAGTAAACGAAGAAACCTGTTTGAGTCTCAGTGTCCTCTTCTAGTGAATGGGAATTTGAGTAAGTGCTTCACCTCATGGAATGATTGGAAGGGTCAACTGAGAGGACAGCTTCAAAAGTACTTTGGAAATTCTAGAGATTTATCAAGTTGTAATTGATTCACAGTAGCATTCAGAATAGGTCCACTTTGGAATTGTGCAGGACTGGTTTGTGCCTCTTTTTTTAGTATTGGGAGATAATTGGAGACCTTGCTAGAGGCGTCAGTCCATACTTTTGGAAGTCTTTTCTTGAATTACTACCAACTTGTCTTCTCCTGAGAAAGCTTCATGTGAGGAGAAAATGTATATAATCTCATTTCTGAGCTGTGGAGTTCAGCAACTTCATCCTCGCTGCCCATAGAACTGAAAATCCAAGGCCTGGCTATTCCCTCCCTATAGGAACTTACAATTTCATTCATTTCAGGAATCTTTCTGAACCTGTCATGACCTACAGGCTGCACAAAGAGCTGGTCTCTGCTGCCAGTAAGTATTTATGTTACTCTTTAATTGTGTTGTCCTGGTTACCGTTTATACCAATAAGCCTAGGAAACTGGAGGGAACGGATTGCAACAAAAACTCAGAAACGCGTACACAGATTTTGCCCACTGCCAAATGACAGTAATCTTGCTGTCTTACTCAAGGGTTGTATTACTTGTTATAAATCAATATTAGGTGAGTGGGTTGGAGAAAATGACTAATTTGAGGGATGTGACAATATAAAGACTTCATCAATTTATTGATTTTATTGCCTCTTCCCTCAGAACAAGAGCGTTGGCCCACATTACCAGGGGATAGAAAAATGGTTACATCACAGTTGCTGTTTCAACTTTCTTCAGTGCCTTTTCTTTTCAAATGTGTTGTGAATCAGTACTCCTGTCTTTTAACACGAGCATCACATTTTCTAGATGAGAAAACTGAGGGTTATGATGCAGGGGTACATGGGAAATAAGGTGTATAGAATCACTTTAAAAGTTGGCAGCTAAAGAAGCATTAAAACTTTTGGCTAAGGCCACTGTATGAATGTCCTTCTCCATGTCTATGTGCCCCTCTTCCTGCATCATGCCCTTTGTGGTGTGCAGGAAAAAGATTCAGGGGACTGTACCTCTTACTGGGTCTTTTTTCAGGTAAGGGAGCTTCAGTCTTTACTTCCGGGCTTTCTCAGTGATTCTCACAGGAAACCAGAAGCAGCAGTGCACCTCTTAGTAGGACAAGTAAGGTGGGGGGAATAGGTTTCTAGCTGGAAGTTTATGTATGAGACTTTAGGAATAACTGTGTGTGCCCAGCATTCTTTTTTCCTCTGAGACACTCTCTTCTCTTCTTATCTTTCTCTTCTTCTCTGTTGTCTGTTTTTTTCCTCCTTCTCGGCCTATTTCTTTGTTCATTTTTATCTCTGTCTTTTCCTTTTTTCTTTTTCTCTCTGTCTTTTTTTCTGGATCTCTCTTTGTCACTGTGTCTTCGTGCCTATTTGCTTCTCTTTTCATCTCTTTGACTCTCTCTGTGTCTGATTGTCTTTCTCTGTGTGCGTGTGCGTGTGTGTGCGTGTGTGTGTGTATGAGAATTTGCTCAAGACAATTGCCCAGAAAGCCAAACCATCTCTTTCACTGTTCTCTCTCAGAGTCTGACAACCTGGATTACCGGCTGGGAGCTATTCACTCCCTGGTATATAAACTACCAGAAAAGAACCGAGAGATGCTGGAAATTCTGATAAGACACTTGGTCAAGTAAGTAACTTCTGGGTTTTCAGAAAGAGTTCCTATTAGAGGACTGGCCCCTGTGGTAAGACTGTAGCAAAACTGCCTCTCAGTTCTTTCATTCCCAGCACTCAACTGCTTCGTTGGCTGGCTGAGTGCTCTGCTAGGAAGGCAATTTTGCTTTGACCTTTATACATATCCTCTCAGTCGTCATGTATCTGGGTTGTCTCAATTGAAGGATAACATGAAAGTAAACTGGTCTAAATTTTGGCCTTGCTGTCAGACAAACCTAGTTTTGAATCCTAGCTCTGCAACTTATTTAGCTATATCATCTTAGGCAAACCTCTCTGAGTCTCTGTTCATCTGTACTGTGAGAATAGTCATGCCTAACATGCAGCGGTGTTGTGTGGATTAGAATGAACACAGGCCAGGTGCATGACACATAGGAGGATTTCAAGAAATGGGAGTTGTCATTAAGATTCTGGTCACCCTCTTGAACCAATGCGGTAGTCAGTAACAGCCAGCAGCATTTCAGAGAGTAGGCCTGGTGAAGGCACTGAGATAGGTGGTTAAAACAGGTACAAGTGCCCTGCAGTGATGCTTGCTGGCCAGAGGATTTAATGTTGTGAATAAAGATGAATATACTTAGCTCGAATAAGGCAGAAAATGCTACTCAGCAGCCTGAGGCCTCAGGATTGCTTGAGCCCAGGAGTTCAAGACCAGTGTGGGCAACATAGCGAGACCCCAAATTAAACAAAAAGGCAGAAAGCGCTCTGCCCATGAGTAAGCAAACCTGGTTTCTAATTTCATTTCTGCTTACCAGCTCATTTGGGGACCATGGGCAGGTCATTCTCAAGGCTTCTCTTGGTATAGTAAACTGTAAAGAAATGTGAAAATGAGCTTAGAGAAATAAATTGTAATCAAT